TGCTCTGAAGCACTGAGTCATGCTTGTTTGTGTCCCCAAAATGGATAGAAAGGCAAGAGTTGTCAGTGATCATGGGTGTGGTCTGAACCAGCCCGGAGGGGAGGATGAAGAGTGCTCCTGGAGGAGAGCCTCCACTTTATCTGGGTGACACAGCAAGAGCCCCGCCCAGATAAATGGTGAGGCCACCACCTGCAAGCTGACTTTGGCTGAGAGATGCTATCACTTCCTCTTCCTCAGACTCTCAGAGCCCTTCCGCCCAGTCTCAGGCCCCAGCTGCTGCCTCATCTCTTCCCATTTCTTTCTCAGAGCCTCCTGGTATGATGGCTTCAGCAGTGTTTGCAGTTAAATCTATCCAACTAAGGCCTGGGAGGGCAGTCCCCTTAGATAAAGATTCTTTTTTTTTAAAAAAAACTAGCTTTTCACCTAGGCATCTTATAAATACACAGTTGGGGGAGGGTTCAGACTTCATGCCTCCTAAAGACCCCCCTAGGCCCCTAGCGCCCCCCCACCCCCACTCCCCTTTCCTAGCAGCTGCATCTGTACTATTTGACTCACCCATAAGCTGGTTTCAAACGAGTCCCTGTGGACAATAACTCAAGTCAGTAAAACACCTTCGCAGGCAGTAAAACACAGTTCTCTCTAAGGTAAGAGAGCTCCCTCAGCAAGAGTCAAGTGGGCAGTGCCTGTAAACAGAAAGAACTGGTCTCTGGGCTCTCTGCCCCGCCCATTAGCACACCTGGCCTGCAGGTACAGGTAGGCAGGGAGGAAGGTGATGTAGAAAGCCCTGCTTCTCTCCTTTTTGTTCACCTCCAGCATCTTTTTTTTTCTTTCCAGTATGTTGCTGGATCTGTTAATGAAAATGAAAGCTTTCACACCAATCCCAGATTGTGTCCAGAATCAAATAAGAAAACTGCAAAAGTGCTTTGTAAACACGAAAGCACTCTCCAAAATGAAGGCAGGATCATTATCTGGGAAAGCAGTCTCCAGCATTCTCCTTTCGTGTTTGGAAATACCATGTTGAACACCTTCCAAACAATTAAATCCCATCAAGCTGTTCAAATGGTTGTGTTCAAATAATCTGCCCAGACTCTCCCTGCATTGCTCCCTGGGGGGCCGCTGGGAGGCAGGGCTGGCTACAACTTTTGCTGTGCCAGGATGCTGGGTAATGGACCTGAAGTCAGAGCACTCACTCTGTGGGTGACCTGGGAAGTCACCTAACCTCTCAGAGGTTCCACTTCCTTATCTGCAGAATGTCCCACCTACTTCACAGGGTTTTGGTAGAATCACAAGTGACAGTGCTCAGGAAAATCCTCTCTAAATTGGACGGTGCAATGCCAGTTGCCACATCAAAGGCAGAGTCATCAACAAATGGAACGATAATGTTATGTTCATCAGTATTTTTCTAACAATTCTAATAATTCCAAGATCCAAGTGCAGGTTAAATATAGGTTTCAGGGGCCTTCCTGCATTCTCTTCCTTTTGATTTGTTTGTTTATTTAGAAAAATAAGAAGGCCAGGTGGCTGGATCCTGTTGCCCATCGAGGCCTTTGAGTTTCTTAAGTGAGAAATACGGCCTCACTACAGTGATTTGCAATAATGAATAGGAGTTAACAAATTCCATCAGTGAGCAGCAGGTGAGAGAAAGAAGAAAACTCCTAAAACCTAAATAAACAGTGTTACAAAATGACTACTCTGTGAGATAGAATGGGCGTTCTGCTGTGTAATAATGGCTGGACCACTAATTCACATGTTGAGAGACATTGTGGAGAGTAGTTGATTGTTACATAATCACTAGTTATGAGATGCTTTCAGGACTAGGGGTGTGGAGGACCCCCACCCTGGAGGATCTTGGGACAGTGATCATTTGTCAGTGACCCATTTATGGGCACGGCCTCCAGTGTGGCATCGTTGTGTCACTGGAAGAAGGATTTACTCAGGCAGGTATTGGCCACCTTGCTGACTGAGGGGACCACACAGTAAACTCCTGCTCTGTAAGGTGATCAAATCTTGTGAATGGGTCAGAAGGCCCTCATGCTCTCATAATACCCAGGAGGGAAAAAGAGAGACATAACTGTAGGACCCACTGGCCATGAAGCCCATCACTCTGGGTCAGCGCTGATTCTTAATTAATTTCAGGGGGCCCCTGATTCCTCACCTGTGAAAACGCACTCTGCAGTGGACCAGGGTGAGTTTGGGTTAGGACACCTTATGTGAAAGACTCAGCCCATGCACAGCCAACATGTATAGAGAGCTTTCCTTGTGCCAAGCCCTGCACTAATCACCTTTACATGGGTTATTTTGTTTGATTTTCCAATAACTCTATGAGCAAGCTGCTAATTTAGAACCTGCATTGAGAGCCATAACAGAAAAGAATGTATATATGTGTGAAACCTGAGTTACTCTGCTATATAGCAGAAATTAACACAACATTGTAAATCAACTATACTATACTTCAATAAAAGAAATAATATTTTGTTTAAAATGAACCTGTATTTAGGAGAGTATAAATGGTCTCTGGGGCTTCCCAGGTGGCTCAGTGGTAAAGAATCCACCTGCCGATGCAGGAGAAGCAGGAGATGGGGGTTCAGTCCCTGGGTGGGGAAGATCCCCTGGAGAAGGGAATGGCAACCCACTCCAGTATTCTTGCCTGGGAAATCCAGCGGACAGAGGAGCCTGGCAGGCTGCTGTCCAAAGGGCTGCAAAAGAGTCTGACATGACAGTGACTAAAACAACAACAGCAAATGGTCCCTACTTAACCTTCTACAGCCCTAATCCACCAGAATCCTGTTCCCTGATTAATAATATATGTTCTCTAGGCCCATCCACATCTCTCCAGATCTATTTGCAGGGCAAGAGTAGAGATGGAGATGGAGAGAATAGATGTGTAGGCACAGAGCGGGGAAGGGGAGGGTGGGACGGATTGGGTGAGTAGCATTGACATGTGTACACCACCATGTATAAAACAGATGCTGGTGGGAACCTGCTCTGTAGCACATGGAGCTCAGCTCAGTGCTCTGTGACGACCTGGGGGGTGGGAGGAGGGCAGGAAGGTCAATGAGGGAGGGGATATGTGTATCCATATAGCTGACTCATGCTGTGGTGCAGCAGAAACTAACAACATTGTAAAGCAATTATGCTCCAATAAAAAAATAGTATGTGTCCTTTTGGTTAAGAATGCCCAAATATTCTTGGAAATGTCTGTATCTTCTTCTGCACGTGCAATTTAAGGCAGGGATCCCTCTCTTAGATGGGTATTACATACTTGCTCTGGCAATGCAAGGAGGTTTCATTTCGTAGCTTGTTACAAGGTCAGTGCTTTACAAGTATTTTACATTGACCCTTAAAACAACTCTGTGAGATAGACCATTATCTTCATTGTCCAGATGAAGAGTCCAGGGCACAGAAAGGTTAAGTGATGGCTCAATGTCACACAGCTGACTCAGGGCAGAACCAGGTCCCTGACCCAGGCAGCTGGTCCTCACTGCTTCCCTCAAAGGCACTTGCCAGAGAGGGCAGTGAAACACCCTGCATCCCTCCCATCCTCTGAATGGCCCAGGCCTCTGGCTCCGCTGCTACCAAAAGGTCTCAAAAAAACATGTCGTTCACACGTGAAAACTGCAGGCCAGGCCCCAAATGCTTGATGGGGGCTTTGCTTGATGGGTAAGAGTGAAGAGGAAGCTGAAATGGGTCATCTTCTTGCTTGTGACTGTGTGTGTCTGTTTGTATTGTGTTAAGAATATTTAATATGAGATCTACCCTCTTTTAGGTTTCCCTGGTGGCTCAGACAGTAAAGAATCTGTCTGCAGTGCGGAAGACCTGGCTTCGATCCCTGGGTCGGGAAGATTCCCCTGGAGAAGGGCATGGCAACCCACTCCAGTATTCTTGCCTGGAGAATTCCATGGACTATAGGAACCTGGTGCACTACAGTCCATGGGGTCGCAAAGGGTCAGACACGACCTAAGCGACTAAGCTCGAACACTACCCTCTTACCTGGGATAAGGAAATGGCAACCCACTCTTCTATTCTTGCCTGGGAAATCCCATGGACAAAGGAGCCTGGTGGGTTACAGTCCATGGGGTCACAAAGAATTGGACACGACTTACCAACTATGCCACCACCACCACCCCTACCCTCTTAACAAGTTTGGAAGTGTACAAAACATTCTCATTGACTACAGAAACAGTTTGCCTGTGACTTTTAACACAGGAGCAAAAGCTGAATTGAAAATATTTCTCATCCTCCTTGGCCGGAAGCAGCCTATTTAGGGAAGGTTTCTTGGGAATTTTATTTTGGGTTATCATAAGGATGATTTGGATAACAAATTTGGCCTTGAGATATCATTTCATAGGAATGTCTGTTCAGATATCCAAAGTCAAGATTTTAGTTTCTGGATCCTCAATTCCCCTCTACTAAATTGACATCCTCTGTGCCACCTTTTTGACAGTCTCTGAGGGTGCCTTCCAGGGGCCAAATAAAATCTTGGCTGTGATGATGTGGTACATATTTATGGACAGCGGTCCCCAAACTTTTTGGCACCGGGGACTAGTTTCATGGAAGACAATTTTTCCACAGACAGGGACTGGGGCGATGGTTTGAGGATGATACAGGTGCATTACATTTATTGTGTACTTTATTTCCATTACTGTTATTACATCAGCTCCACTTCAGATCATCAGGCATTTGATCCCGGAGGTTGGGGAGCCCCTGCTTATGGAAATCAGTGATTTGATTAAGAGACATTTTCTTTGTCTAGGCAGTTAGATGGCACATGTAGTTTCAGATAACAGAGGTCCTCATGGGTTCAAATTGCTGATGCACTTTGAAACCAGTACATGTTGAACAAGGAAAGGAGCAGAGGGCATCTTAACAGCACCTGGTGGCCGGGTCCCTCTCCAGTCAGTGGGCGTCCTGGGGACAGAGATGCTGCTGCCCCATTACGGCACTAATGGTGTTATTTTCTTGGGCCATTAGCATGTGTGACCCAAATCACTGCCACATGCTCATCGGCCCAGCTCTCTGAGTGTCTCCCACATGATGGGCCTGTGAAAATTCACCTCCAGCTTCTGAACAAAGTTGTTCCAGGACCCCTGGGATAAGTGTGTTTCCCTTAATGCTGTTCTTGATGGCAGGTTCTCAGAAAAAGAATGGCTCCCTGCAAACAGAAGCAAAGAGAGATGTCAGTTTCTGGAAAGACCCTGCTTGGCTGTGAAAAGGTCATCCTCAGCGTGTGACCAGGCCTGGGCTGGGGGCTGGGACAAAGCACTGGTGTTCCCAGGCCTGGGAGAGGCGGGCAGGACCGTGCGGTTATCTGAGGGCCGAAGCAGGAGGGGTCGGAGCTCTGGGTGGAGGGGCCAGGCCGGCGGTGGGTCAGGGGCTGACTGTTGGTCCTGGGATCCCACAGAGGGGGGCTCTCAGGGAGTTTGAGTTTACCCTCTTGTGGGGTGGTCTGCTCAGGGGAGATAGCTGCCAGTCCCCAGGGCTCTAATGAGATCCACCCAGGCCTGGTGAATATTCCCTGCTGCACCCGCCCCTTAATCAGGCCCTTGCACTGAGCAGTATGGTGATTTTAGAAAACCACCCACAAACCTTGAAAGGCCCCAGGGAGGCTCTCCTCAGCTGGAGAAGGATCACAAGTCCAGTAAGGAACTGGCGGAAATCTGGACGGTTCCGACGTCCTTTCCAGGGAGGAGCTAATCTCAGGACAGGAAGACCTTGAGGGGACAGGTGATGGCAGGTACATCAGGCCTGTCGGGAAGATGCCTCCATCCGCCTTTCCTCATGCTTTGCTCACCGAGAGCTCCCCGGACACTCAGGCTCAGGCTGCCTTCCCTCCTGAAGCAATTTTGAGTAGGTTTTGCAGGACCCCCAGCCCTGGTGTGTGTGTGGAGGGGTGGTGATTTATAGGGGGAGGGAGCTACTAGCTGGTTTTAGAGTTGTTCCTCCTGTCATAGCCCAACTGCTCTGGGCCTCCATGGACTCGCTCAAAACAGCCCTTTGACGCCTCTAACTTTCTGTGCCGTATTCAGAGCTATTCCCTCAGATCTGCCTTCTGCCTCAGCTAAATAAAAACGGTTGTGTCACAGGTTTTTCACTTTATGATTCTCATTTCTGTCATCTGTAATTGGTCTTCTTTCAGACCTTTGTTGCTGTTGCCCATTTCTTCTCTAATGGTTTCAAACCCTTACTTTATATCTTTAAAATGTTTATTTTATAATTTCTTCCAGGGATTTCCCTGTTGGTCCAGTGGTTAAGACTCCGTGCCGCCAATGCAGCAGGGATGGGTTGGATCCTGGTCAGGGTATTAAGATCCCACATGCTGTGCAGTGCAGCCAATAGATTAAAAAATAAGATGAAATAAAATAAACACTGTGAGGTTTAAAGGAGAAGGCAATGGCAACCCACTCCAGTACTCTTGCCTGGAAAATCCCATGGATGGAGGAGCCTGGTAGGCTGCAGTCCATGGGGTCACTAAGAGTCGGACACGACTGAGCGTCTTCACTTTCACTTTTCACTTTCATGCATTGGAGAAGGAAATGGCAACCCACTCCAGTGTTCTTGTCTGGAGAATTCGAGAGACGGGGGAGCCTGGTGGGCTGCCATCTATGGTCGCACAGAGTCGGACATGACTGAAGCAACTTAGCAGCAGCAGAGGTTTAAAAAAGAAATAATCTCTTCCAGATTGTCCAATCACCTTTGAGTTTTGTTTCTGCCATGGTGGTTCAGTTTGTGTGTATCTTCTTGTACAGCCTCATCCTCAGTGAACAGTATCATCCTCTGGGAGGCTATGGCTCATGGGCCATGAGGTTTATGCCCTGGTTCTGTGCAGGCAGCCACCGGGTAGCCAGCATTCTCCAGTTCGTACCATTTTCTCCTCTGCCAGAGATTTGCAATGTGTGCGTGTCATGTAAGTTCATATTCCATCCTTGAACATGAAGTTCAGGATTGACTTTTAATTTTATTCACAAGACTTTTTTTTTTTTTTTCTACTTGGAGCTCAGGGCTGTGCAGAAAGCTTTCTTAATACCTATCTGGGCCTTTGTAAGTTTCCTGGACCCTTTCTTATAAACCAGCAGCCCTTCAAGAGTCCTGGCTTTCAACTGAAACCTCACTTATACCTCCTCCTCTGGTGTCAATTCAAGGCTACATTTCTTACCCATGCATGGGCATTATGTCTACCTTTAAAGGGCTTCCCTGGTGGTCTAGTGGTTAAGAATCTGCCTGTCAGTGAAGGGGACACGGGTTCGATCCCTGTTCAGGGAAGATCCTACATGTCAGGGCAACTAAGCCCGTTTGCTGAAGCCTCAAGAGAAGTCACTGCAATGAGAAGCCAGCATACTGCAATGAAGAGTAGCCCCTGCTCACGGCAACTAGAGAAAGCTGGCATAGCTGTGAAGACCCAGGGCAGCCAAAAACAAAATAAATCAATTCAATCTTTTTTTTTTTAAAGTCTATCCTTTAGCCTCTTGGGCCATTGTGGCTTCAGCTCAGACGGACCATTCTCATTTGAATTCACTCTGCTCCTGGCATGTGAGGGTTTCCACTTCTGTTGTTGTTGTTTAAAGTCAACTTGCATTAAACAGCATTTTTTTAAAAAATTCTCTTCCATCCAGGATTTCAGTGTGTTTGCACCAGGAGGAGTGGCTGAGTCCATTCACTCCACCCTGTTGCCAGAAGTGGAGCCCACACACCAGCTGCTGAGGGCTCAATTTTGCCTTCCAAGTGTCAGTCACAGGTGGGGTCTTATTCTGAGACTTATTCTGATAGCAGACAGTGCTCCTGTCTGCTAACTTTGAGCATCGCTGCTCCTGGATCCTGTGATGCTTAATTCATCCCTCTGATTATATTGTGTATCCACCTGTGTCGGCTGACTACTTTTCTCTCCCCGTCTGGAATTCTTTTGGTGGCCAGATAACTCCCCTCCAGAGAGCCAGCCACTGAGGCCACACATGAAGAAAGGAACTTGGTTGGTTGGAACTTCTTTATTTTTTCTTTAGGCAGGATGGTTGGACAAGGATCTTTCACCATCTAGAATCCTGTAACTTGGAGTGGGGGTCACAAGTTTCTGTGGTCCCCAGGCTTTTTGGCATCAGGGAGCTTTTTTCTTTAGGCAGGATGGTTGGACAAGGATCTTTCACCATCTAGAATCCTGTAACTTGGAGTGGGGGTCACAAGTTTCTGTGGTCCCCAGCCTTTTTGGCATCAGGGAGCAGTTTCATAGAAGACAGTATTTCCATAGACCAGAGGAAGCAGGGTGGTTCTGGGATGATTCAAATGCTTTACATTTATTGTGCACTTTATTTCAATTATTATTACATCAGCTCCACCTCAGATCATCAGGCATTAGATCCCAGAGGTTGGGGACCCCTGCCTTTGGGGATCTGAAGAAAACAGTGCACCCTGTCCTGAGAAGAAACGTACATGCACAGAAAGTTGTGCATGAATTTCAGAGATTCATCAGCCTCCTGAATTCCACACTAAGAGCTTCTGCTTTGGAGGCTGATTGCTCATTGGTGAATGGGAACCTTGAGTTCTCTAGCCTTATTCAAATCAACTCTAGTGAAAAAAACCTTGTTAAAATGAGACCCTATGACATAATAACAATCTTTCAGTTTTTCACTCCTTTAATGCCACCTTGAAACATAACAATGGCATCGAGAGTCATGTCAATAATTAGTGACACTCTCCTATAAAATCTCTCCTTCAAAGTACTTTTTATTAATTAATTGATGTTACCAGAGCATAATTTCCTCAAATACCACTTTTTGATTCAAACCTATGTCATCGACAGGGCAGGAGCAGCTTCATGAAATAAGACAGACTGACACACCATTGTGGAAATAAAGCTGGATTCTAGACTCAATTTCTAGATTTGGGATCTGGCTTCGCTTTGAACTATCTAGTGACTCTGGGAAATCCCAGTCTTCCCGGGTTTCTTTTTCCTTATCTGTAAAGTGAGGAAGCTGGACTAGATTGGAGGTTAACAAACTAATATCCAGCAAGTTCTGCTTGTTGCCTGTTTTTGTAAATAAAGTTTTGTTGGAACACAGCCATTCTTCTCTATTTCTGTATTATCTGTGGCTGCTTTCAGGCCACATGGCTGTTGTTGAGTAGCTGTGACACAGACCATATTGCCTGTGAAGCTGGAAATAGTTATTCTCTGGCCCTTTACAGAAGAGTTTGCCAATCCTTGAACTAGATGGTCCTTCCTCCCTTTCCAATTCCTTTTTTTTTTTTTCCTACACATGGGCTCTTAGTTCCCCAATCAGGGTTCAAACCTGTGGCTCCTGCATTGGAAGGTAGAGTCTTAACCACTGGACCACCAGGGAAGTCCTCTACCTCATTTCCACCTCTGGATGATCTGTGATTCTTAGAGGCAGAGAATGCAACCCAGGCACATTCAAGAGCACAAGTGGAGTAAAGGATGGATGAGTCAAGACCAACCACATTATTTTGTTGATGCAACTTCCTCAATCACTGTTGCTCATGGAAGTCTAATAAATAGTCAAGTGGAACTACTTAAAACAATCAGACTTCATGTGTATCCAATTGGTTTCATCATCCAGACCCTGGTGATTCAGGAAGACCTTCTTCCAGCCTATCTGTGATGATCAGTGAGGATTTTAAAAACTTACCTCATAACATACATTAACAAACACAAATTTAGGAAGAACGGACAGGATAACATATACAATCCCTTTTGCCCACCTCAAGATTTTTCTTTAAGTTTTTACTGGAGTATAGTTGTTTTACAACGTCGTGTTGGTTTCTGCTCTACCGCAAAGTGAGTCAGCCACATGTACACACAGATCCACTCGTTTTTGCATTTCCTTCCCATTCAGGTCACCACAGAGGATTGAGTAGAGTTCCCTCTGCTATACAGTAGGTTCTCATTAGTTATCTATTTTATACGTAGTATCAATACATACTGTATCATAGGATCAATATGAACTGTGGTGTTGGAGAAGACTCTTGAGAATCCCTTGGACTGCAAGGAGATCCAACCAGTCCATCCTAAAGGAAATCAGTCCTGAATAATCATTGGAAGGACTGATGTTGAAGCTGAAACTCCAATACTTTGGCCACCTGATGCGAAGAACTGACTCATTTAAAAAGACCCTGATGCTGGGAAAGATTGAAGGAAGGAGGAGAAGGGGACGACAGAGGATGAGATGGTTGGATGGCATCACTGACTCAATGGACATGAGTTTAAATAAGCTCTGGGAGTTGGTCATGGACAGGGAGGTCTGGTGTGCAGCAATCCATGGGATTGCAAAGAGTTGGACATGACTAAGCAGCTGAACTGAACTGATCAATATGTATATACTGTGATACTATGGATAGTATCATACTATGTGTATGTATGTATCATAGTATAGTATGTATCATACTATGTGTATATATGTATATGTATGTCAATCCTGATTCAAATTTCATTTTGAAATGACCGAGAGCATAAAACCACCAACCGAGAAAGGAAACCCTTCTGACGTGGATGACAAAGGTGGTCGGTTTTCCTCTGTCCATGAATTTTCTAGGTGGAACATTGACGAGACTGATATATTTTGATGATCTGTTTTGTACAAACCACTCTTTCTAAACATCATGAAGCCGGGAAGTCTCTGTGCCACAGTCCACTACTGCAGTGGCAGATGGCCCAGAGGCTAGGGTTTCCCACCAAGTCAGACTTGCAATAATCTCATTAGTTTGGAAA